TGATTTTTTTGGCTAGTTTGCAGTACGCTTACCCTTCTGATTTCTAACGATCATGCTGTAGGTCGAGCCCCTCTCGCTGAGAGCTGGGTGTTTGCTCCCTCAGCTAGAGATTTACTGCTAGCCATTCCAGCAGTATACCTTAGGTCGAGTTGATGACTTCTCAAACATAGCGTTTTGGGATGCACCATTTCCATCTATGGGCTGCACTTTCAGAGTGCCACGAGAACCCCTTAGAATGGTATTTAAAAAAAAATCCATGTTATGGTAAGTGTGCACGTGAAGTCTTTGTACACCATATGCAGAGCGTGCGGTAGCCCCTGTGTGACAGGCCAAGACTTAGTATGATTCTAGGCTCTTGGTTGCATTCCCTTAAAGGAATCTATCCTGACAGGTAAGTTTTTTGGGGGGGTATGTAGCCTAGGCCTTTGGCCGTAGGGAATAACAACTCCCATGGCAATATGGTAGAGTTGGTACTTAGTGCTCGCCATGGTTCTGGCATGCACTCCCCTCAGCATGGTGGCGTGGGTATACCGTTCCCCATAGAGGACGCAGTTTGAAGTTCCCATGAAAGGGAACGTCTCAGGTTACGTATGTAACCATGGTTCCCTGAGTAGGGAACAAGACACTGCGTCCTTTAGGTTTCTTGCCATGCTGTGGACGTAAGCTTCAGACGAAGAAGTGGATGATGTGTTCTCCCGGTGCCTATTTATACTATAGTCGCACTGGTAGTGACGTCATGGCTGTCGCCGGCCAACGTGTTGTTGGTGTTTTTTCAATGTATGCTTCAGACACGGGTCTTGTGTCCCTTGAGGACGCAGTGTCTCGTTCCCTACTCAGGGAACCATGGTTACATATGTAACCTGAGACGATTTGTAGTAAAACTGTGGTTATACAAATGGTAATCAGTATGCCAAAATCCATGGTTACTACACTTTTACTACAATAAAGCCATGTTTAATTTTTGTAAGGGATGATTTTTAATTATAGTAACTATTTTTTGGTTTTATTTGAAGTAAAACCATGGATAATTTTCATAAATGATTGCTATGATTGAAAGTAAAACCTGTAGCAATGGACGGAACGAAACATTTGATAAGGTGACAAGCCAGTGTAAATAGAGCTGTGCATTAAGTGATGCAGTGTAAATTCAGAGTACGGTATATTATCAATGGAGGCATGAAGGCATTCCGAGTGAGAAGGCTGTCTTCACTACCTCAGACAGCCCTTTATACAGTATAAGTTTCCTGTGTACGTGACAGAGCAGAAACCCGCTCTGCCAGTTCTAAGAAGACAGACTATAGACAGGCTGACGCGTGCACGTGGTTAACCACACCCTAACCTAAACACATACTGTAAGCAGAAAATACTGCACAGTACACATTTTTTAATACTTACTCATATTTGCCTTATGGGCTTACACTTATTTGCCTTACGGGCAGTACACTTAATAATCTATTTGCTACATTTGTATATTGCGTACATGTAAGTATTTAACCTAATACTCTGGCTTAAAGGAATAGTTCACCCAAAAATGAAAATGTGATGTTTATCTGCTTACCCCCAGGGCATCCAAGATGTATGTGACTTTGTTTCTTCAGTAGAACACAAACGAAGATTTTTAACACAAACCGTTGCAGCCTGTCAGTCTTATAATGGAGGTGAATGGGAATCACGGCTTTGAGAGTAAAAAAAAACATACACAAACAAAACCAAATTAAACCCTGCGGCTCGTGATGATACATTGATGTGTAAAGACACAAGATCGCAGACTTATAAGTGCATTACCGCCACCTATCTCTCAAATGGACCATTGACACTCTATCTACAATCTCAATTAGGAGTGTCAATGATCCATTTGAGAGATAGGTGGCGGTAATGCGTGAATCAGAGGTAAAAAAATCTATATAAAAACTGTTCAGTTTCTTGCACAGACCGATCGTTTTGTGTCTTTACACATCAATGTATCGTCACGAGCCGCAGGGTTTAATTAAGTTTTGTTTGTGTATGTTTTTATTTTACTCTCAAAGCCATGATTCCCATTCACCTCCATTATAAGACTGACAGGCTGCAACGGCTTGTGTTCTACTGAAGAAACAAAGTCACCTACATCTTGGATGCCCTGGGGGTAAGCAGATAAACATCACATTTACATTTTTGGGTGAACTATCCCTTTAATAAGCTTTAATAAAAAAATATAGGAATATAAACATTTCCATTACAGGTCACACCAAAGAGGGTGAAGAATTCCTTCCACACAAGTGAGAACTTACTCTTATTTAGATACTAACTGTGGTTTAAGTAGTGGCTTTCATAAGTTCATCCAACACAATTGCTCTAAACTGCACTGTAACCTTGAGTGGCACCATGAAATACGTTATATTAAAGATCATAAAATTCAGTTTTACAATCATTGAAAGACAAAAAGCTATTTAATGTTACAGAGAGATGGACGTAAAGTTCTTACCTGTAAAAATATACTTTCGATAACTTTGGATATGCCGTGTCACTGCCTTGGACAATGTCTAGTGCAAACAAGTCTATACAGGTCACGAGCCACTTCCTCACTCAACAAGGGGAATGCCCATTCTTGTAGGAGGATTCAAGTAAGAATATAATATTTCCTCTCCTGGTTATATGGTTATATCATCTTGTGGCTACTTATTCTGGGCACTAACTTATTCATCCCATACAGATATGTAATATATTCACATGTACAGTGGGTACGGAAAGTATTCAGACCCCCTTAAATTTTTCACTCTTTGTTATATTGCAGTCATTTGCTAAAATCATTTAAGTTAATTTTTTTTCCTCATTAATGTACACACAGCACCCCATATTGACAGAAAAACACAGAATCGTTGACATTTTTGCAGATTTATTAAAAAAGAAAAACTGAAATATCACATGGTCCTAAGTATTCAGACCCTTTGCTCAGTATTTAGTAGAAGGATCTTATCTATGCACAATCAGCTTGTAACACTCCAAAGAGAAAGGAAAATCGCATCATATGACCCCTTTAAATATATTGAGATATACTGTATTTTGAAAATATATTTTTAAAATGCATTAAAATTGAAGCTTAACAATTTAACTTCATGTTGCATGTATAAATGTGTACATATATGTGACAATATATTTAATGTCTCATGTCACAAAAAAATATTACATTTGATATTTGATATTGATTGATTGATATTTTTATCTACACCATGTTAAAAATTTCTATATTATGCTTAGCTATTATATAATATAATATTATATTATATTAGATAAAATTAGATTATTATAAACTGAATGCATTGAAACGTCTCGGTTACATACGTTACCCTCGTTCCCTTATGGAGGGAATGGAGACGTTATGTCATGATGACATTAGGGGTTTACATGGAAGCCCCAATCATCTCTGAGTTTAAGAGAAAATGCCAATGAAAACTGGCTAGTGGATTTTGCATCCTGAGCCACTCCCCGTGCCTACGAGTATATAAAGCGACAGTGTGCATCCACTCATTCAGGTTTTACGCTGAGGAGCCGAGAACGTGTCCCGGCATCAGCGAATGGTTCAAGGTTGTGGCATGGGGATATAACGTCTCCGTTCCCTATCTGTCAGTCACTACGAGTTATGTCGTGACGACATTAGGGGTCTATGGAAAACGCCACAGCCTGAACACCGTCACAACCCTGTGGCGCTGCCAATGTTGACAAGCCGTGGCGTGTCAAGACAAAAGCTACACCAAGGTTCCCAACGCCCCAGCGCAAATCCGCTTACTATTTGGTTCCCCCAAGGTGAGTACATCGCTGCTGAAGAAGGCCATGCTGCTGTTCCGTCCACAAACATTTTGGAAGGGATTTCAACCTTCAACCTTTCTTAGCCTGGCAGAACGATGGGGAAGCAAGCCTTCAGAAAAAGGTCGCTACGGAGACCACATCCTATCAGTAGAGAGGTAACATGTGGAGATACTAATATGGACTGACCTAGGGGGCAGTACTACATATGGAATTGCTGTCTGAGGCAGGTCCAACCTTAGAGTAGGGATGGAAGTCGTGGCCTAATGGTTAGAGAGTCGGACTTGTAACCCAAAGGTTGCGGGTTCGAGTCTCGTACCGGCAGGGATTGTAGGTGGGGGGAGTGAATGTACAGCGCTCTCTCCCACCTTCAATACCACGACTGAGGTGCCCTTGAGCAAGGCACCGAACCCCCAACTGCTCCCCGGGCGCCGCAGCAAAAAAATGGCTGCCCACTGCTCCGGGTGTGTGTTCACGGTGTGTGTGTGTTCACTGCTGTGTGTGTGCACTTTGGATGGGTTAAATGCAGAGCACTAATTCCTAGTATGGGTCACCATACTTGGCCACATGTCACGTCACTTTAAGAACAACTGCCAGAAGAGACTGACACACTGGGTCTATCAAGGGAAGACATGGGTTTACCAAGAGGGAAACCTTACCATGGAAGAATACACATATGGGATTGCCCGCAGGGAATCAAGCCATATGGACACCTAGCCCAGTACAGGGGCTGACCGGAACTCCGGGCATGCTAAAAGCAGTACTGGGCCTGGCGTCAGACTGCTCCGCCAAGTCTGACTGACAGTGTTCATTTGTTAACTGCGTCTTACAAGCTGTTGTTGAAAGTAAAAAGAACTTCCGTTTCAGTCTCTTTCAATATAAAAGTCTTTACTGCTGACTCGTAAAACTACTTTTTTTTTTATTACTTTTTGTGAAGTATACGTTCCTTCCATGTTGTGATGTTACAAAACCTTTTTTTTTTAATCCGTGTTAGTGATGCAAAGTCCGATTCACTTGGACAGTTCGGTTCAATGAACTGGTTCAAAGAACCGATTACATCGGCTCCTTAAGTCATCTCGCAGTTATGTCAGTATACATTTCTTGGTAACACTTTAGAATACTGTATCTTACTTAACTAATAACTAATAAGGAGTTACTGCAGAACTAATAGGTAATTCTTCATTAACACTCAAGTCACTACTATTAACTACTAAGGAATATGTGTTAACTAATCAATATGTAATAGCATTTTTTTATTGTGTTAAGTAACTATTCAATTAAGTCATGCCTCCTGAAGAACTACTATTACGTAAGTATTAATTCAGCTTCAGAAGGAATAACTATTAAGCAACTACTAATGAACAGTGATGCACAGTATCAGGTTGTGGCCCTTTCTTCTTCTTTAGTACTAATGTTGTTAGATAAATTTACTACTGTTATATATGCTATTTAAATATTGATTTACATTCGTTCGCATATGCGCCAATTAATGTTTCTGTCTGTGCCCACGCTATAATGTTGCACTTCTTGCAGCATTAAATCCAGGAGAGAAGACAATTCTAGTGAAAGAGCACACAGAGATTCATGAGTGCACATGCAGGTCAAAGTTTCTGTGAGTCCAGTTTTGTGCGAGAGAATGGATTGAGATTCTGCATGTAAGCAGAGAGATTCATTGCTTGTGCATTTGATGCGCGTTATAATAATGCGCTGTCGACAATTTTCATTGAAATAAGCTGGATACCACATTAATGATGTTGATGATAATAATGTTTTTTGTTTTTTAATGTAAGTGTTGTCTGCAACCAGAAGTTCAAGACTGTAAGTGCCTTGCCAACATGCCTCAGGTACGTTCATGGTTTTATATACATTTTGTGTGTGTTTTCCTCAGGATACAGCATCACTATCATAAAGTGATACCAAATGTATTCTGTATTTAAGGCAATGACTGAGGGAAACTGAGAATACAGAGAACCCCTGAGTCGTTAAAAAAGAATGACCACATCATTCTCAAGGAATTTCTTAGAACCTAGAACAGTATTCTAAAGTGAAAACATTGCGAACCAGTGAGTAATAAAGAACCTTAATTCTACTTTAAAAAATTACAAATTATAAGAACATTTACATTTATTGCAATAAGTGTTGATAACCTTTTCAATGAATTTTGTGTCTATTTTCACACAACAAAACAATCAAAAGGTGAACACTGTCTTAAAGGAAATTTTCTAAAACCAAAATTTTCAGCAAATTACTAGGAACTGTTTTTTCTGGCAAAGGTCAATAATCATGCCATTCTTCTTTTTTTCCTCAATTATGCTTCGAAGTGGCTCCATTGCGCACATTTCTTTGCAATGTTTGGCAACAGTTACAGTTTCTGGCCTCTATGGAACTTTTCACGCAATGTCTTGTAGGCTTCAGCGTCTCAAGCTTCTAGCTCTGCTATTGCTGCAGTATCCAGTATGTTTTGCGGTCCACCCCACACTTGTGGTAAGCCAGCGTTTTGGTTATTCCCTGTTCCAAGTAGTGCAGGACATTTTTGTATCTTTGGATTGCATCTTCTGGCAGAAACACTGGACAAGATCAACGGTGCATGCTTAGTATGTAACTCCAGTAAGACCATTTAATATATGAAGAATTCATTTGCAAAAGCCTCTAATTGTGACTGACATGTTTTATAGTAGCATTTTTTATCAGGCTCTTATGATTGGGTTTAGTAATTTAACTTTAATGGTAATGGCCAGTTATTGATCAGTTATTAAAATGCTCAGATCATTGACATTCATTGAATTCACTGAATTAATTTAAGAAATTTGATTGTCTTTTGCTGCAAAACCAGTTAAATATGTTAAACATCGTTTAAGTACTTAAAATAATTAACACTATACACACTAAGGATGTCATCAGAATCAATCTGGGATTACATGAAAAAAGTTGGTTACTGCAAATATTAATTTATGGTGTAAAGCCTGCCACACTGCGATTTCAGCAATCTTATAAGATGACTGCAGATCACACTGTGCAACATGGATCTAATCATCCTGGGTAGGATGTATGTTGATTGTACGATGATGACACCTGTTGACTCGTAGGCTACGACTCAAGTTACTATAGAGCAATAAAATGCCATCAGCATGCACTACTGCTAAACAGAAAAGCATGATGAATCGCACTTCGGAAGTTGTGGTTTCTGTGTGCTGAAAAACAAAGGAAGCCGTGAAAGAGGAATGGAAAAGAGTTTGAGGTAAGCAGTTTTAAATTTTAGTGCCGTATCACATTGATTAAGCACCATTTCGTGTTGCAATTTTACTGGCTGGTCAGTAGACGTAGGCCGTAGCAGCAAACACACTGTGAGATGATCATGCTGAACTTCTGACACTGTCAGCAAATGATCATAGGCTGTCTTTGGTCACAAGACCGTGACAACAGCCGTCTTTAAACCTTTCTCACTCTATGACATAAGACCACCTTTAAGAAGCCATAATCACAGAAATCACCACAATTGTTTCATGATGGCAATCTTTCGTCTGGGACAGCCAAAAATCGTGCAGTGTGTCCCTGGCTTTAATTGAGAAGTGCAAAGTATTTATGGCATTTTTTTAAATAAAACACTCGCTACATTTTACTAGACAACATTTTACACTAAGACTTTTTCAAAGTACTTAAGGACACTATTTGAATAATGATGATGACATAGTTATTGGAACATAATATACATTATGACAATGGCAACGCGCCTCTTCTGTTTTTTTTCCATTCTGTGTTTTGCTGTCTGTCTTGATTTTTTCTTACGCTTCCTCTTTTTTTGTGGTGAAGAGGAAACCGATGAATCAGAGGTGGAAAAAGATTCATCTGAAGAGGATGAAGAGTTGGCCTTGCTTTCTTTTTTTTCTTTTCCTTTCTTCTCTTTTTCACCTTCTTATTTTCTTCAGGCAGGTCAGAAGAGTCTTCATCGGAAGAGTCAGGGTTCGCAATCAAATTTTGGGGGGGTTTGGAAGAAGCTCCCTGCATCTCTTCCTTTGTTGACAACGCTGATAAGAAATACAGACAAAACTATTTTAATTTAATTTTAATTATTTGCCACCCTACATGTGAGCTAGTAATATGATTAAGACATACCAATGCATTTGGAGAAGACTTGTGTATTTGTGAATTGTTTACAAATGTAATTGCAACTTTAAAAAAAAAGTAAAATAATTTACTTCTTAATACATTTTTAAAATGCAGAACAGTAAAATAAAATAAAGACTTTTTTTTCATTTTTTACAGACGCTTTTATCAAATACATTTTACAGATGCTTTTATCAAATATACTTAAAAATTAATTTAATAAATTTAACTACACTGTTTTTGGTAACTGTGGAGATATGAAAAGGGTCCATTCAAAGTTAGCCATGATTCATGTAACTCAATGTTACTTATGTGACTTAAATATTTAATGTCAAGTTAGTGCTCACAATTTTATGCATATTTGTAGGCAGGGATTGAAATTAACTTTTTCACTCACCAGCCAATTTGGCTACTACATTTTTAAGTTACCGGCCATTC